TATATATGGTTTGGTACCTTAAAAACCCCATTAGCTTTTTTGGTTAGGGTTTTATTTACTCCTGTATTAAAGTGTCCCCACTCTGGAGGAAGGAGCACATGGGATATAGCAGACAGCAGCATTCTCAGTCTGGGGGAGGGGAATTTCTAGATGTACTAGCAGATTTAGATACGCTAAAAAATTGCAGCCAAACTCCAGCTCACACTATAAGCAAATGAGTTATTTAAAACTAATCAAGCCAAACCAAGTCTTAATATGAGCATAAATAAGATGAAAAAGGACAAAATGTATATACAGTTGTTGCGCAAAGGTTTTCATACCCTGGCAGAAATATGAAGACATTTATTATCACATAGTTGTTTGGCTCCTTTTTTAAATCATAATGGTAACAGAAATCACCCAAATGGCCCTGATCAGAAGTTTACATACCCTAGAATGTTTGGCCTTGATACAGACACAAAAGGTGTCATGTACAGGTTAAAATGGCAATTAAAAGGTTCATTTCCCACATCTGTGGATTTTGAAATTGCAATTAGTGTCTGTGTATAAATAGTCAATGATTTTTGTTAGCTCTCACTTGGATACACTGAGCAGGCTATATACTGAGCCATGGGGATCAGAAAAGAACTGTCAAAAGACCTGCATAACAAGGTAATGGCGCTTTATAAAGATGGAAAAGAATATAAAAAGATATCCAAAGTCTTGATTATGCCAGTCAGTACTATTCAATCACCTATTAAGAAGTGGAAAATTTCGGGATCTCTTGATACCAAGCCAAGTATAGGTAGAGCAAGAAAGACTGCAGCCACAACTGCAAGAAGAATTGTTCGGGATACAAAGAAAAACCTACAGGTAATATCAGGAGAAATACAGGCAGCTCTGGAAAAAGATGGTGTGGTTGTTTTGAAGGAGCACAATACGACGATACTTGAACAAAAATGAGCTGAATGGTTGAGTTGCCAGAAATAAGCTTTTACTTTTCCGGACAAAGCCTTGACATGCCCCACCAAGCTTTTTTATTAAATGTGACATCAAGTGCAGCGAGAGGATCCCCTGTCTGCTATCACAGTGGGGGATCAGGGGTTTAGTGGGGAAGCTACATTAGTAACATACAGGTGTAATATGTTACTAAATGTGAACTTATCTGTTAACCACTTGACGACCGGAGTATAGCCAAATGGAGGCTACAGCGTGGTCGTCTAGTTCTGGTAGGGCGTCGTCATATGATGTCCTTTAGAACCATGCCTCCCGCATGCCCCCTGGGTGCACACCCGGTGAGCTCTATATCCGTAGGACACAGCTGATCACATGACATGGTAAAGGGCCAATCACAGTGCCCTTTTACCACGTGGTCACAATGTAAATACAGTTGCCAATTATCGGCTAAACAGCGTGAGGAAAGAGAAGAGCCGGTATTCAGCAAATGTATAAAAAAAATTCAGAGGTAGTCCAGTGCAGCCCCCAGCCCTAACAGTGTCCATCAGTGCAGTCCCAACAGTGTCCATCAGTGCTGCCAGTCAGTGTCCATTAGTGCTGCAAGTGGCCATCAGTGCCACCAGTCAGTGATTATTAGTGCTGCCAGTCAGTGCCCATCAGTGCCACATATCAGTGCAGCCTCATCAGTGCCTCCTCGTCAGTGCCCATCAGTGCAGCCTATCAGTGCTGCATGTCAGTACCCATCAGCGCAGCCTCATCAGCACACATCAGTGGAGAAAAATTAACTGTTTGTAAAATTTTATAACAAATTTTTTTTTTCAAAATTTGTGGGTTTTTTTTATTTAGCAAAATAAAGAGCCCAGTGTGATATAGTACTTTCTTTTGGTGGTATGTTATGTCTCAAAAAAATTCCATATTGGTACAGTGTTGCATGACTGCACAATAGTCATTCAAAGTGCGAAAGCACTGAAAGGTGAAAATTGGCCGGGGCAGGAAGGGGGTGAAAGTGCCCGGTAGGCAAGTGGTTAAAAGTAATGATAGCAAAACATTTTTGCTCTTTCTTATTCTTCTTTTATTTTCTTACTGGTTTCCAGGACCCTTTGGATAAAGCATTTATCTAAAAGAGATCCTATGCTTGTTTTGACTGTAGGTTGTAATGCTACAAGCATCAGTATAACAATATACTACATTTATATTAGGAGGAGGGATTGAACCCTTTCTGGCTATTATAAGTAGGTGTGACTGCATGGCTGTAATGCTGTGTGCAAATTTGAATGAATGGGTGTAGTTTTACACAGCCCTTCTCCCTTTGGGTTGCACATTATTTCCGGTAAAAACTGGAATGGCATGCACCAAAAATAAATAAGAGGTTGGCTTCCCTTGTTGCTACAATGTAGTTTAGCAAACAACTACATGAGTGATGGCAAATGCATAGACAACAAAAGGGCGTCCATCAGTTGGTAAAAAGGGTCCAATGGGTTGTTTTACAAGGTAAGGGTTCACATATACTCATGTAGCCAGCTGTGCACACAAACTGTCTGTTTACCCACCAGATGTCAGCTGTATGACACATAAATACATACTGTCAGTATTGCACAGAAGAGTGATGTTTATATGTAACTTAATGTTACATATAAACATCATGTAAAGACCTCTTAAAGGTAACTGTAATGAGAAAAATATAGAGGCTACCAAATTGTAGTCTTTTATTTACATTCTGCATTATTTTTCAAAATAATGGCAAACAAAATAAATAAACAAACAAACACAAAAAATACAAACCTTGTTCAAACTATTTGTAGGAACACACACACAAAACAATTGTTTTTTGGATGTGCCCTGTTCACCCTTGACCTGCACTGCTCTTTAAAACACACTCTTGACCCATAGCAGCATAGTCTCACATTGTATTTAACCCCTTCCTGCTGGCTGTACACATACATGCTGCCTCACAAAGTTGGTCTTTAGGCTGGCCATAGACGGGCCATAGAATTTTTGGCCGATAAATGAAAAACTGGTCGTTGCTGCCATGGATTCTGCCACCAATACTTAGGAAAAACGTGGATTTTCCAGCATGACCAATAAAAAGAAACGAGAAGATCCGCAAAAAAAAAACGGCCGACTGCATTGCCCCACTAACGGTGTGAACATCGGCCGATTTTTTTTCGTTCGGACGGAAATTCGGCCAATAAACGACCCACCTATGGCCTGCATTAGTATAGACTAATGTTTGGGAATCAGGATAAACAGTTCCTGATCATTGTGATAGCCTCTGATTAACTATCACAGTGATCAGTCATTATACAGCCCACCACTGTTTTTTTTCCTGCTCTTGACTGGAGAAAAATATACATTGTATCTTTTCCTCCTTATTAGAGGAAAAAAGTTTAACCACTTGCCCTCCAGAGGATTTACCCCCCTTCCTGACCAGGCCATTTTTTGCATTAAGACGCTGTCTTACTTTAACTGACAATTGCGCAGTCATGCAACTCTGCAACCAAATGAAATTTACATCCTTTTTTCCCCACGAATGGAGCTTTCTTTCAGTGGCATTGTGCGGTTTTTATTTTTTTGCACTATAAAAATAAAGTCTGACAATACTGAGAAAAAAAAACTATATTTTTGACTTTTTGCTATTAAACATGTTCAGTAAAAAAATTTTAAAAATCAAATTGCGTCAGAAATTTAGGCCAAGATTTCCTCTGGGTACTCGTTTCCTCCCACACTCCAAAGAGATGCTGCTAGGTGAATTGGCTCTTGTCTAATTTGGCCCTAGTATGTGTATATATGTAAGGTAGGGACCTTAGATTGTACACCCCTTGAGGGTTAGGGACTGATGTGAATGTACAATATATATGTATGTAACGCGCTGCATAAATTGACAGCGCTATACAGGGGCGGACTGACAACTCATGGGGCAATAGGGGATCATGGGGCTCCTGTGTCCTTGCCCACACTGAAAAAAGCCTATAAAAAAAGGTACCAGGGGCATTTCATGGGGCCCCCTACTGACCCCGGGCCCTTGGGCAGTGCCCGAGTGCTCGAATGGTCAGTCCGCCCCTGACACTATATGAGTACCTGTAATAAATAAAGCTATATTAAGTTGCACTGTAGCGTCTCAATGGAAATTGCAGGATTTTGAAGTCGCACAAGTGTGACTAGAGCTAGTCTATGAGGGTTAAATCGCACCAAAGTGTGGTAAAAGCAATGCAGGAACTATGTTTCAAACCACGCTACTTGATATAGCAAATATTAGCCTGGTTCACACCTCTGCCATTTAGGAATTGAAATCGTACCTGAAATCAGATCTAATGAATGTGTCTTAATATACTCGATGTGCTACAGCATGATTTCAAAAGTAGTTCTTTTATTACTTTTTTCTTTTTGTTCTTGTATTATTTTTTTGCAGTTGTGATTTCACATATAGACTACAATAGAAATCGCACTGCAAAACGCAATGGAAAACGCAAGAAATTGCTAGGAAATCTTCAGAAAACGCGGTAAAATCACAAAAACAAAACGGGCGATTTTAAATTGCATCCAGTGTGAACCAAGCCTTAAGACAGTGCCATAGAAATACATTAGTTGCGCCTTCTAGTGCGATTTGTAAATCGCATGTCGCACCTGAAGTCACAGCGGTGTGAACCAGGGCTAATACAGCACACACGTAAAGTTGGTTTATTCCGGCCCCTCCCACTGCAATCTGATCACACCCACAATTTGCCCTCATACTTCATTGTGAACATTTGTCATCCTCCAGCCAGCACTTTGTATTGCTTGGCAGCAGTCTCCTCTCTGACGCTAACAACAGACATAGCACTGTGATGACAAGCACCAACCACGCCCCTCACAGCACTGCCTTCCGTCCAGTCCCAGGAGTGCGGAAGTAAATCGCAGTGGTTGGCAAACGAAAGAATGTTTCGCTCCGCCCTTGTTTGGAACATCCGGTTCCGGTCTCATAATGCTGACGAATCAGTAGAAAGTATTTGCTGACGGCGGCCGAGGAGGGTCAGTTCACTGTGAGACGTGTCTCTTTCCCCTCTCTGTCTCCTGTCTCTCCGGCCATGCCTCCCAAAGTCAGCAACAAGCAGCAGTCCGAGGAGGACCTTCTACTGCAGGACTTCAGCCGCAACCTGTCCGCCAAATCCTCCGCACTCTTCTACGGGAACGCCTTCATCGTGTCCGCCATCCCCATCTGTAAGTGTGTGCCCGGCCTCCCTCGCAGCCCATTCATCCTGCAGACGTGGCGGGGCCGACCTGCGCTCCTCTATAGGTGTGCGCTTCTCCTGTACACCACTCTGCAGGCAGCTTCCCTCTGTCTGGAGGACAGCTCCCACCACTCACACACATTTCTCCAGGTGGATCCTGGGGGTGTTCTTAGGGAGATTTACATTCTTCCTGTCACAAAGACACAATGGGGAGGATATCTCTCCAAATTCAGGGAAATCCTTTCTAAGGGACCAGTGTCCCCAGAACAGATGTCCCCTAATGGAGGATTTCCCTTCTTCCTGTTCTGGTGACAACACGAGACTCTCATCACTTGTAGTCCCTGTGACAGTGACTGCCAGGACGAGGAGTGACAGTGAGTGACTCAAGGTTTAACACTTCCTCCTCCATCTAAAAGAAAGAAGTGATTTTTAACTGCACATTAACCCCTTGCCCTCCTGAGGATTTACCCCTCCCCGTCCTGACCAGGCCATATTTTGCGTTATGGCGCTGCATTACTTTATCTGACAATTGCGCTGTCATGCAGCACTGCACCCAAATGAAATTTACATCCTCTATTTTTTTTTCTTTCCCCCATGAATTGAGCTTTCTTTTTTCGGTGGTATTTGATTGCCTGTGCGGTCTTTATTTTTTGCACTATAAAAAGAAAAAAAAAAACACGATTTTTGACTTTTTGCAATTAAACACGTCCAGTAAAAAAAAATTAAAAATCAAATATCATAAATTTAGGCCAAAATGTATTCTGCGACATGTCTTTGCGCTAAAAAAAAATCCCAATACATGTAAATTGGTTTATGTGAAAGTTATAGCGTTTACAAATGGCGGTATAGATACTGGAATTCTTTATTTTTTTTAAATGTATCAGCGGCTTATAGTAGGACTGCGGCCGGTATTCTGACACTGGGGGGAACTGACTTAGTGTCACTGACATCCCCAGTGACACCTATACAGTGATCAGTGCTAAAAAAAAAAAAAAAAACACCGACACTGTACTAATGTCACTGGGCAGGAAGGGGTTAACATGAGGGGGGTGATCAAAGGGTTAACTGTGTGCTGGGAGTGTTTTACTGGGGGGCAGTGTGTTGGTGCTTCACTGTAAGTACACTGCTCTGGATGGCTGTGCTGTGCCCAGCCATCCAGAGCAATGTGCCCGAGCTGACAGGGAGGAGGACGGTTAGTAAACAAATCAGCCTTCCTCCCCGTCGTAAATCTTCTGTAATCACTGGACGCAGGCGGGTAATCACCATGTGGGACCCGGTGAATGACAGTCGCAGCGGCGAATGGCGACATGGGTAGGGCACACGTGCAGCTCGCACGTGCCCCCTACATGGAAATACAAGATCACTTCTATAAGTGATTTTGTGCACCCCTGCCGCCCTGTAGCAGTATATCTGCTATAGGGTGGTCGGAATGTGGTTAAAGCGACACTAAAGGTTTACTTTTTTTTTTTTTTTTTTTTGAAAATAACAAACATGTCTATACTTATCTCCTGTATACAGTGGTTTGGCACAGAGCAGCCCTGATCCTACTCTTCTTGGGTCCCCCTTCAGTGCTTCTGGATCCTCCTTTCTGTTGGGTGCCATAGCAGCTTGCTATGGGGGCACCCGCTGCTCCCTCTGTTCATTCACACACGGAGGTGCAACTTGGGCCTACCTCCTTTCTCTCCTCATTGGCTGACTGCTGTGATCAGGTGGATAAAAATCAATGATTTTTTTTTTAAAAAAAATCAAAAAAATTGGATTTTTTTGATTTAAATCAGATTTTTTATATTTAAATCAGATTTTTTTTGAATAAAATGCTTTTTCAGGAAAATATATTACCATCCAGGTTATTCCATCATGAAATAAAGATTAGTTTTTTTAATTATGTAGAATAAGGCTGTATATGTTTAATTTTTTTGGTAAATAAATTCCATGAATCCATTCACAATGTCATGCTCTTCCAGAGGTTTTTGTAAGATTATTGGGCAGTTTCTCTGCCTACAAGATATTATCACAGATGCTTGGTTTACTTTTGCAGTTCTCAAAACTGAATTTGACTCAGCGGAGATCACATGCCTCTTCTTCACAGCAAAAATGTTATAACATGAACAGAGTTAAGAAAAAGACCTTAATCCTAACTTCTACAAAGCTATGAATACAGAATCAACCCCTTCAGTGCTAAATTTCAAGAAGTTCAGTGAATAGAATCAAAACAATATTTTTCTGATTGTTTGGAGTGGAATAGATCTGCACAAGAAGAAAGTGAAACTAAGTGTGAGGAGGAAGGGGCTGACAGTCTTAAATTTCTTAAAATATATATATTTTGTTTAGCCAAATTAGTTAACAAACATGCTTGTTTGTTTAAGCAAATAACACATGCTGTAATGTTATTGTTTCAGATGAATAAATCTATTTAAATTATTAAGGTAATGATTATTTTTCTCCTTCCTAAGTACAACAGAAAATTTGTCCAAATATGAATGATTAACCTATTAAACTGGGGATAAAAAAACTAATATGAAAAGTTGTTATTCTTAAAATCTTCATCTACTTGCATATTAAAGTTATACCAGCAAGAATTAGTCTATGTAGAAAACTAGGATTTAAATCAAGCCTTACTGACTAGTGATTTAAATTGTGATTTAAATCAGTTTGATTTAAATCAAATCCACCCTGGCTGTGATTGACAGCAGCAGGAGACAATGGCTTCCGCTTGCTGTGTCAGCCAATCAGCAGGCAGAGACTCGGGACAGCCGAGGCTGTTGTGCACATCAATGGATTGCAATGGGGTTCAGGTAAGTATTGAGGGGGCTGGGGGGTTGCTGCACACAGAAGGTAAAAAACCTTGATCCTTTACAGCCACTTTAATTGTATAACAGTCATCTTTTTCTGTCACCTGCAGCTCCAATGTTTGGTCTTTTTACCAGGACAGATTGCAGGCATCGAGGGGAGCTGGAGCAGCTGTGCATGGCAACCAACCAACCTTTGAATTTAATTTTCAAAGCTTAAAGCAGCATTGAACCCCCCCCCCCCCGTATACTCCCATCTACTGTCCAGTGATGCAGCAGTTACATCCCTTGCCAGCTGCTGTCATCTTCTCCCAGATGCTGGAGTTTTTAGCTGGTGGGGGATGTCCCTTGTGCATGGGAGTCAGTCATGCCAGGAATGTGTGTTGAGATGCGCAGCTCAGTGTACAGTCCATAGAAATCTGCAAGCAGGCAGGTAAGGCAAACATTGTCTCTTCCACAATAAATGGCTGCCTGCTCGCAGTTTTACCAAACTCCGGTTTACTTCTACTTTAAGTCCCAGTTCACACTGATGTGGAGCAGGGTTCACAGCGAATCCTGTATGTTTCCTGCACTGCATCAGAAAGAGTTAGTGAACCGCAAGAAAGAAAAAAAAAAAATGTCTCCTGCAAGGTAATATAATGTGCTAATATGCATCACGTGTAAAACTTGCCTTAAAATAAAGCCCTCCAGCAGTGCACTGTTCAACACTGCAGAGGCTTCCATCTTTACCCGATCCTTCTGGGTTCACGATTCCGGTCGTCTTGACAGGCCGGGCCGCGATGATATCACTCCCACACATGTGCGTGGGAGTCCCGGGCCACAGCACACAGCTCTGAAGGAACGGTGTGGGTATGCTGTTCCTTTAGAGCACATGCGCCCACTTTTAAAAAAAATGAGAATATTTCAGAAATGGTGCACATTTAGTAGATCTTCGTTTTACTTCATTTCTTCTTCATTTTGTAGGGGAACAAAAAAAAAAAAACAAAAACGAGTTTACTACCACTTTAAGCCAACGACACCCCCAAAACTGTTCGCAAAACACGTTGTGATTGACTGGCTGAACTGAATCAAATGGGTGTGAACCCACATGTCATCTGATTCCAGTGTGGGGAAAAAAAGGGGGTCCTGCACTTTTCTTGTGGATACATACAAAAATTGCACAGCAAAAGAATTGCATGTGATTTGAACAGGAATGTGGTGTGATTCCTGTTCAAATCACCTGCGGTTTTCTGCACCGCATCAGTATGAACCAGGCCTAAAACAGAGCTAAACCCTCCTATCCTTTTCAGCAAAGGAAGCTGCCATTTTGGCCTCTGTTTGATCTGGCGCTGTCATGATGCGGCACATGTGATCAGTTATAACACTAGTCATTTTTTGTTGGACAGTTTGGTTGAGAACACGTGACATTCCTGGCATGTTGGGAATATACCCATTTCTTGAAACTGTTAGTTCTTCTTTAACCGAAGAAGCTTAAGATAGACGCTGATTGGTTGCTATTCACAGCTGCTCCAGAGTTGATAATTTCTGTCAACTGAGTTCAATTCACAAAGTTTTACACAAGGATAAGGATCTTTATTTTCTGTCATGTAACTCACTTTTTTTTTAAAACAAGGTTCCTTGTCTGCTTGAGTTAGCCTTGTGAGTTGAGCCTGTTGTAGTAACTTGTGAGTACTGAAGTTTCCCTAGCAGTACTATGAGCTGTGTGCACTTTACCAAGGGGTAGCTTTTCACAGGCAGGTACAACACTGTCCATCTGCAGACTGTACAGCAAGCTAGAGATCAGACCCTTCACTGATCACTTCTGTTTAGTAAAAGACATATGGCTGATTAGTCGGTTTGTATCCAGCCTTCTGGGCTCCAATGCGTTGTCTTTAGGAATACATACTGTACACTCTCATAATTGGTCACAGATCTTTCTATAACTTATGGTGCTGATGGTTTAAATTGTGTGTAACGTCTGCCTGAACAATGTTCTTTTATATTTTTATTACAGGGCTGTACTGGAGAATATGGCACATGGATTTGGTGCAATCAGCTGTCCTGTACAGTGTCATGACCCTTGTCAGCACATACCTTGTGGCCTTTGCCTATAAGAATGTGAAATTTGTTCTCAAACACAAGTAAGTCGTTTTTTTTTTTTTTTTTTTTTTTTTTCTTTTTTCTTTCCTCCTTTTTGGAAAGAACCACCAACACCCCTTTTTTTACTTAGGCTAAAATGAATTAGGCCTCAGCCACCTGGGATACTCTTGTCACACATCCCAGGAGGTTTCAGATCATTTATCCAAAAATGCTCATGAACTGTATTTTCACAGGGTCGGCTATCTTTTCTTGGTTCTTGCAGCCAGCCCTTTGATGATACTGTGCATGCTTGTCCAGGGGTTGCATGTAAGAACCAGGAAGAGACTGTTTGCTTCTGATGTCAGTGAAGAGGGCAGGGCTGTATCCAGTGAGCAGCAACAGAACAAAGATGCATTTGCTGGTTGTATGTGTTTTTTGTGGACAGGCCAGAAAACCAAGTAAAGGGGAATTAAAAAAAATAATTAATGGGGGTGAAGTTCCTCCTTCAGACTTGTAAAAATAAGTACAACCAACTCTTTGCCTCCAGTATGTACATACTGTACTGTACATTGCCTGTGCTTTTTTTTTAAATGCATTTACCTTCTAGCAGGCTCACCTGGGATCCATTCCACAAAATTGGGATTGTCTGAAATTTTACTGTATGCATATAAAGTGTTGTTGAAGAAACAATACAAGTATGAAAACTACTGACTTGCTTTTTACTAGCACAATCTTCATGGCTGTCATCCTCATTTTTACTTTATTATTATTATTATTATTATACAGTATTTATATAGCGCCAACGGTTTGCTCAGCGCTGTAGATTATAATGGGAGACAGTACACGAGACAGTACAGTAACAATACAATACACAAGGGGTTACTGAATAAATGCTTGTTCAGGGTTAGTGACACACTAATTCAGACTTGCTCTTTGTACCAAGTACCTTCTTTTAGTAACCGTTGAACTAAAAGCCACATGCATTTTTTCAGCAAGTTGGAGCAGACTGTAAAGCACTGAAATTGCAGGAAATAGGACCTGCAGATATAATGAGCAAATCGGTTGCTCCATGTACATATGCATTCGCAAACCATACATAACAAACCAGGTTTTTAACTACTTGCCAACCGCAGATAGCTGAATGGCGGCTACACTGCGTCATATGACGTCCTCCCAGAACGCGCTTTCCTGCACGCCCCCGGCGATCTCCGTGATCGCTGTGTCCTACGGACACAACTGATCACGTGATGTGGTAAAAGACCAATCACAGCGGCCTTTTACCACGTGATCATCCGTGTCCAATGACACGCTGATCACCGGGAAATGCAATTGCCGGTTCTCGGCTGCACTTTCCTCATGCTGTCAGAGCACGAGGAAAGTACTGCCGAGAACCGGCAGTTGTCATAGCAGAGATCGGCACTGATGATCAGTGCGCACCAGTGCCACCCACCTGTGCCCACCAGTGCAGCCCACTAGTGCTGCCAGTCAGTGCCACCTATCAGTGCTGCTTATCAGTGCTACCTATTAGTGCCCATCAGTGCTGCCTCATCAACGCACATCAGTGAAGGAGAAAAATTACCTGTTTGAAAAATTTTATAATAGAAACAAACTTTTTTTTTTTTTTTTCACATTTTTTGCAATTTTTTTGTTTATAGCGCAAAAAATAAAGTGCCCAGCGGCGAATAAATACCACCAAAAGAAAGCTCTATATGTGGGAAAAAAATGATAAAAGTTTCGTATGGGTACAATCTTGCATGACCGCGCAATTGGCAATCAAAGTGCGACAGTGCTGAAAGCTGAAAATTGGCCTGGTAAAGAAGGGGGTATAAGTGCCCGGTAGACAAGTGGTTAAAAATTATTATGCATTGATCCGATTGCTTACACTAAATAAGAGAATATAAATAGTTCCTCTGTACTGTTTGACATGTAATGATTGATTTTGTATCTGCCTTTGTTTTGAATTTCCTTTGGTCCAGGGTGGCACAGAAGCGAGAGGATGCTGTTTCCAGAGAGGTGACCCGCAAGCTGTCTGAAGCTGACAATCGGAAGATGTCCCGTAAGGAGAAGGATGAGAGGTAGAGAGAATTTCAGCTAACATATTTTTATATTTGACTTCACTGAGGGATAAGGTGATGGGATCTAGGTTACCTGGTAAACCACAAATTATCTATAGAAATGCTGCATCTTTAGAACAAAACAGATCAATCATGTGATAGACCCACCATTAAAAAATAGGAATACTGTGGGTAGTAATGGAAAATAGAAATGTAACTGTTTCAATACTGCGGTGAAGAGTTGTGATATGAAGAACTTCGTAACATGTAGTACCACCCATGTAATTTTTGTACAGAAGTGCCCATGTGGGTCAAAATGTGTGGGGTGTACAACATGTCTGTTAGGGAAAACGCATAAATAATATTTTTAAAAATTGGTGTATCCAAACATTTTAGAGTTTTTCATAAGAGACATCCTAGTGTAATGAACTTTTATGATATACATAACACTTTTGTTTGTTTTCTTTATTTTCACTTGGTGATCCAACCAGTAAGTCTGTTACTTTTTTAACTTCATAAAAGTGGCAGGGAGTTGAGTGAGACAAACCATTTACTACTGAGTGAGGTGCTTACAATTGTCAAGTTTTAAAGTGTTAGCTGGAGTTCAAGTGATTGCAAACATGTGGTGGTGTGTGTGCTTTTTTTTTTTTTTTTTTTTTTTTCTACAAACATGTTATCCTCTGCTCAAAATAAATAAAGGAACACATTTTAATCGGAGTATAGCATCAAGTCAATTAAACTCCTGGGATATTGATCTGGTCAGTTAAGTAGCAGAGGGGGTTGTTAATCAGTTTCAGATACTTTGGTGTTCATGAAATTAACCGGTGCACTAGATGGGCAACAATGAGACGACCCCCAAAACAGCAATGGTTTTACCAGTGGAAGCCACTGACATTTTTTTTTTCCCTTTCTCTTCTTTACTGACTGTTTTTCATGGTAGCATGAGGCGATACCCTGGACCCTAAAGAGGTTGCAAAGGCAGTCCCAACTACTCAATACGTGCCATTGTCAGAAGGTTTGCTGTGTCTCCCAGCGCAGTCTCAAGAGCATGGTGGAGATTCCAGGAAACAGGAGAGCTAGACAGGGCTGTAGAAGGTCCATAACCCATCAGTAGGACCAGTTTCTGCTCTTTTGTGCAAGGAGGAACAGGATGAGCACTGCCAGAGCCCTACAAAATGACCTCCAGAGGCCACTGGTGTGAATGTCTGACCAAATAATCAGAAACAGACTTCATGAGGGTGGCCAGTGGCCCTGTGCTCACTGTCCAGCACCATAGAGCTCGATTGGCATTTGCAATTGAACACCAGAATTGGCAGGTCTGCCACTGGCACCCTGTGCTTTTCACAGGTGAGAGCAGGTTCATGCTGAGCACATGTGACAAACATGAGAGGGTCTGGAGAAGCCTTGGCGAACATTATGATGCCTGTAACATTGTTCAGCATGACTGTTTTGGTGGTGGATCAGTGATGGTCTAGGGAGGCATATCCATGGAGGGACGCACAAACCTCTACATGCTAGATTTGCCAATAATGCAATAATGCTGTAAGTTTTTTTTTTTTTTTTTTTTTCCCCAATTTAATTTTATTTATTTAGGATTCTTTGGAAGAAAAATGAAGTTGCTGATTATGAAGCTACCACCTTTTCCATCTTCTACAACAACACACTTTTCCTGGTTGTGGTCATTGTTGCTTCATTCTTTCTACTGAAAAACTTCAACCCTACAGTGTATCCTTTTGGGGGAAAAAAAAATGGAAAGACGAGTAATGATCACAAAAAAGTACACCGATATCTCTCTGGGCTTTTTACGTGTTTTTATTTGAGGCTATCTATGATTGGATCTTTTGCCAGAACATATTCCCTTAACTTGGTATGTTATGTAATGACTGTCTGAATTACTTTGATCCCTTGAAGCCAACCCGCGCGCAAATTAGCAGCCTTCCAGGACTGGGATTTTTTTACGTGGGGAAGCTAATTTGCATTGCTGTCTTTCTGCTGGGAGCGTGCCACACGGCTCGCTCCTAGCACAAAGACCGGGGTATCACTGAGAGCCCGGGTCCCGTTCTAAAGGTTTGATCTAGGACTGTGCCAGGGTTAATGCTTTGGTCAGGGTTAGTGTTTTGGGGGGGGGGGGGGGAATCCGTATCAGTTAGTGACGACAAAAAAAAAGAAAGCAAATTGTGCACTATGGTTGCTGGGCTGTTTACGGGTACAAATAACATACACACGTGGTATCGTTGCGATTTGTTAGGAGCAGGAGAAATTATTTTGGGTTGTTCTTTGGTGGTAGGCTATGGTAGTAGCAAGAATTATACAGCTAAAATTAAAAAAAAGGGGGTTTTAATTTTTAATATTTTGGGCCAGTTTTCCAATTTGTCTTTAAAAAAACAAGGTATAATCCACCTGGATGCACAAAGTAGTTGGGATATGTACGGTTTTGCTAACACACAGCAAAGTTGCAAAATTGTGCTTGGGCATTAAGGTTTGTTTTATCCTTAGGCGTGAAGGGGCTAATAGATTTTTTGTTTTTTTTCTTTCCCTAGGGGTGGGGTTATGTTTGAAATCTACAATAGAAATATAAGAATTTTATATTGAAAAATATATTAACATAAGCAGTATTACAAATAATTATTTTACCCCAGGGATCATGTGCACATACTTCGATTGGTCCCATCCAAATCCATGCTGTCTTTGAGCAGCAAACTGTGACTTCTAACCCCCCCCAACCCCCATCTACAGAGATCGAAGGAGGCTCATGTGTGAGGGACAGCTCTTATCTCTGCCTGCAGGTGCCATTAGAGATCCGTTCACCATTGCAGGGGAAAGGAGCCTGTCATCATGAGGCTTCTGTGTACAGTAGCCTCCCTGGCGGTATTCCCGAGCTACACTTGGGCTTACCATGCGGCTGCTGCTCCGCGATCCCTTGATCACTTACCTTGTCCTGCGCTCCCGCGATGTCCCTCCTGCAGTGTCCCCGGCAATGTAATCCGGCCAATGCCAGCATCTGTCATCTGGGTTCCGTCCCCTGCGAGCGTCGGGACGTACGGGGGACAGAACGGCGGGAAATTTGAAAATGACAAAAAGTGACATTCACTAAAATCACATAGTAAAACATTACTGTATCAAACCATTTCACATACATTTTATCCCGAGTGCTTTGTCCTGTTCTTTCTGCCTGGAAACTGAGAAACGTCCATGGCGTCCAAAAAGCATCCCTTTAGGTCAAAAGCAGTTTTAGACCAGCTAGTAAATCAGAACCACTTGCAGAATTGAGTGATAATGATTCGTGGAGAAATTCGTGATCAGACACTGAAAACAATTTTGTGACTTTGCTCAGTGATGTGCGAACGTGGCGCTATATTTCAAATTTCAGTGTTTTTGGTTTGATTATATTATTGAATTAAATGTATTATATTATTTTTTATGATTATTTCATAAATTATAATTTATGATTTCGTGTTTCAAGTTTTATCATACCTGGGATGTTTAATAGACTCTTGTTCGGACAGATTTCAGTGAGTTATTCCTAAAAATTACAGGCCTACAATAAAAAAAATACATATTTCCATGCAAAAAAAATGTACCGCTTTGAGCACAGAAATATGGACATAATCAGACCGCTAGGGAGATTAAAAGCACCTTGCTTGTGTCGTAGAAAAGTAAGTGAACAACGTTGAGACTTGTAGTTCCTCAAAGCATTGCAAGAGCTTTTCTTGGCACGTTTGTCGCACGTAGGGCCTTTCCGGATCGTGCAACAAAATGCACAGGAAATGTGAGTTTTACGGCATGTTTTGGAAACCTGCTGCACACTTGCATCACGTTTATGGTGCTGTTGTTGGCACCCTAAAACCTGCTTAGCGGTCCCACTGCATGAATTATGAATGGGGGGCCCAATGATTAACAGTATGCCAAAGAAACAAAACTGAGCAGTAACATGCATTCTCGCTATGCAAGGTGTGAATAAGGCCAAATGTTTTAGATCTGGGAGGAGAGACGCATGGCTGGGAGGGGAACAAAGAGAAGGGGGATATAGAGGGGAGAGGAGTCGGCACTTAAAGGAGGCTGTACACTGGCAGAGAGAGCAGACTGATTTGTGTTCTTGTTTACAGTACGGTGAACCAGTTTGCGCTGCACTTTGCATGTTGGCCTGATGAGTAGTGCTTCAAGTCAGATAATCCATAGGCACATTACTCTGCATTGGAAGCGCGCAGAGGAGTGAGTTTGAGTTTCAGCCAGGGGTGGATCTACTTTAGGTCTGTACTGTTTGCTTTTATTCCACACAGTACAGACCTAAATAGACTGAGTGCTACATGCACGTTGTCCTCTGGCAGGGAGGTTACATTTTATTTTTGTAATACACAATAGAAATTTCAGCGTAATTGTTATATGAAAAAAAATGTAAATGATGGAATAATACACACCTGCAAAGTGTGTGTTCATCTCATATATTCATATTCCTTAACTTCCACCCCTTTTAGAAATTACATTTTGTCACTAAGTGCTTCTTCAGGTCTTATTGCTCTGCTGTCTACAGGATCAAAATAAACTGACTGGCAGCTAACCGGTGCAACAAAGCTTTTATGTTTTTTTTTTTTTTTTTTTTTTTTTTAAGTCTGCAACATGTACAATAAACATCAAATTTGATTTCTAATCTTATTGTCTTTATTTGCCCTTTTTTTTTTTTTTTTTTTTTTTTTTTTTTTTTTTTTTTGGGTTTGTTAAATCTTAGTGTCGCTGACAACCTGCAATGGCAGCATGATGTCTCAGGGCAGGTTTCTTGATGGTAACAGTGAACCATGCCTGTCTTGAAACAGCCAATTGTCTCCATCACAAGCTTGCGTGACGGGTTGTTTACTTTAATCATTATGAGAGATGTACTTAAAGCCCAACTCCCAGAAAATAAAAATGTATCCTTTTGGAGTGCCTGCACTGCAAGGATTATATATTACTTATTTTGCACTGCAAGGATTAATTGCTTGTGTTTTTTTTTTTTTTTTTTTTTTTTTTTTTTTATTCTTTGCCTAGGGGATCAAAGAAAACAAAAAATTACCTGATCCTCCACTCCTCCCCCAAGCTAGATCAGTCCATGTAGCATCTGCACACCTATGCTCCACTGGTCTAGGGTCCTGATGTTATCAAGACCAGAGCATGGTACATAGCCCTACTCTGAATGTAAGGATGCCAAGGAGTCGTCTGCTGGATTGTAGGGGTGTCACCTGCCCACAGAGCAGAGGATCAATTAACTAAAACGTTCTCTTTTTCCCTAGATATAACAAGCAATTATCCCTTGTAGTGGGGCGGTGCCTTCACCTGCCCCCCCCCCCTTCCCTTTTTGTTTTCTGGGATAATAAGGGTTAATAGAACTAAGGGGCTGTCACAGGCTCTCATTGAAGTTTCCTAACAATGCCCACCCTTTCCTCCTAGCTCAGGCATTCATAGAACCTGGACTATGACTGCTGTGCACGGATAGTGACCTTTAGTGGTGAATGATCGAAAGGGCTGCCCCCTCCATAGATCTGTTTCATTCATAGAAGCTGTATGACTTCTATAAATGATGGAACTGAGTGAGCATAGTTGGGCACTCTTAATGAGAGCCTTTGACAGCCCTAAGCTCTGTTTACCCTGCCACACTAGAAAATTGTGATAAAAGGGGAGTGGGGTAAGGAGGTAATAGATTGTGATGGGTTTCACCTAATAGAAGAAGCATCAGCACAAGGGACATATCCTACTGCTATAAGTTATGTCTCTTGTGCAGATTTTTGTGGCTTTTATTTTGGCTGCACTTGGGCTTTAAACGTGAAGTATGGGGATTAAAGAGAGAAAAAAAAAAAAAAAAATCCTACTTCCCTAGGTGGATCGATGCTGCATCTGTTGCCTGCCACCTCTGAGAAAGAGAACTGATTAATCAATGACCACTAATCGCTCAATTCTTGGTCTGCAGAGTGGTGACTGGAGAGGGCTGGAGCGGCTAACTCAGGCTCTCAGCGGCTTGCTAGAAAGCTTAGCCAGCTGCTGGTACAGGCATCTGGATGGATCCCAACTGTAAAGTCAAGATCATTCCGGAACCTGGACAGGCTAAAAACGGGTCACAGGAGTGCACTCTTGTGACCCATAGAAGTATAGCTAAAAAGCTTTGGTCATACTTCTTTAAATAGAACAATGGTATTTTTGATATGTAAACCCTGTCATCAAGCAGTAGAGACTGTATTATCTACCCCCACCATAGCTTTATTTAAGTGACACTTGGGGATGCTTACAAAAGCATAGATGTGTGATAGCTTTTTTCTATCTATAGCTATATAGTCACTAAACCCACATCATGAAAAACTGTCAATAAATGATATTGGTATTACATGCTGCTTATACTTAGTCACTACTTGGTTCATTTTTTTGTATTCTGCAAAAAACCTGGTTGATCCTATTCTCTATCTCCCCCTTCTCTCCATGTCCCCAATTTGCCAAGGGATTTTGCAGAGCAGTGTTGGCAGCTCTGCACATGCTCAGTTTTAAGTGAGTTTCTATGCTGAGCATTTCCTCCTTGATCACATCTGAGCAGTCCATGTGACTATAGAGTCATGCATTTGGGTGTATACACAGTGGTAAATGACAGCCCACTCCCTCCCTCCTCCATGCCCACTAACCAGCTAAACACAATGGGGGTGGGATATTACATCTTGATTGATGGTGGCTTCATCTCCCTGTTATTACAAGATAGAGGCTTGAAGGGTGTGACACAGCCTGTTGGCAGAAATCAACCCACACCATGTTATTAAATTAAACCAAAAACCATGAACTGAGCTATGGCTACAACTGTACACAACTTAATAAATAAAATTATATTGTTGTTAGCTGCTCAAGTGTGTTCCACTAATACTTAAAAAATTCTTTACACAGTGTGAAGTGACAATGAACAATGTCCATACGAATGTTTATTAAAACCTTCATTCCATAATATAAAGTGTTTTCTTCCTAAAGTGTTCCGTGCTCAAACAGAACCAACACAAAAGTGACTGGTGCTTTTAAAGTGCTCTCCAATCAGTGACCCCGTTTATGTCCATACTTCCCAGATTAGATGGACCTCTTGCTTTCAACAGAGTCAAACAGTGCTTTATTCTGGTGGTGGATTACTCTCCTTTCCTTCTTATTGCTCTTCATTCTCTCCTTCCAACCATAAACATAACAGTGGATATCCTAATAGCTAAAAAAAACAGAGGGAAAGAGGAGGTCCTCATAGTGTAATACTGTCTTTATTGTAAAAAAGCTAATAGTATTTCTTTCCATGTGTGTTCCACGGACAGAATGTGATGTCAATGGAAACCGGAAGCTCTGTCCAACACATTTTGCTCCTCCCACTGGGCATATTTAGAGGCAGCTTTCCCTCTGGTTTTTATGAGCTACTATTATACCCACTGCTGTTTATGGTTTGAAGGAGAGAATGAAGAGCAATAAGAAGGAAAGAATAATCCACCACCAGAATAAATCACCGTTTGACTCAATGACAGCCTGGGTTCACACAGGAGCAGTGGCAAATCCATGCAATTTGGATAGGGATCACATTCCCGTTCAAATCGCATGCTATTCTTTACAGTGCAATTTGTGTCCATACATTTTTTTATTGACGTAAATCGCACCGCAATGTATCATACTCTGTATCGGCGAGTACTTGACCGAAAGTATCAGTACTCGCCAATTAAAGGGTATTGGTTCTTCCCTATTGCTTAGGTCTTTTTTTTTTTTTGTTAAAGTAATTATAGTGCCATCATCCACACAGAAAGAGGAGGGATGATGTACATTAAATACTGGTGTTTATTTACTAAAGCTGGTTCACTCAGAATCTTGTGCATTTCTTCATGGAAACCTATCCACTCCCAGGTTTTATTGCTAAAGCTTAATTGAACAAGCTGAGGTTAGAAGCTGATTGGCTACCATGCACAGGTTCACCAGGTTCTGAGTGAACCAGTTTTAGCAAGTCTCCCCCACGGTGTGTTTAGTATCACTTTAAGAATGCTTTTAGAAATGAACAGAAGAGAAATCCAAATCAAATCAATATTTGATGTGACAACCCTTTACCTTCAAAACAGCACTGGTTCTTCAATTCTTCTATGTACTCTTACAACAGTTTTTGAAGGAACTCTGCAGATTAGTTGTTCCTAACATCTTGGAGATAGATTTTCTGTGGATGTAGGCTGCCTCAAAACCTTTTCTCTCCATGTAATCTCAGACAGACTCAATGTTGAGATCAGGGCTCTGTGGGGACTAAACCATCACTTCCAGGATTTTTTATTCTTTTTGTTGAAAATAGTTCTTAATGACATTGGCTGTATGTTTGGGGTCATTGTCCTGCTGCAGAATAAATTTGGGTCCAATCACATTCCTCCCTGGTGGTATGGCATTCTGCCTGTATTTCTCAGCATTTAAACTACCATTGATCCTGACCAAATCTCCAGCTCCATTTGCAGTAATGCAGACCCAAACACTGTTGCCTGCAGACACTCATTATTATACCACTCTCCAGCCCTTTGCGGAAAAATAGCCTCCTGCTATAGCCAAATATTTAAAATTTTGACTCATCGGTCCAGAGCACCTGCTGTCATTTTTCTGTACCCCAATTACTATGTTTACACTGATCAGCCTTACATTTATGACCACTTACAGCTTAATTGAATATTGCTGATTACCTCATTACTATGGCATTTTAATCACTTCCAGGCCAGACACTTTTACCCCCTTCCTGACCAGGGCAATTTTCAGCTTTCAGCGCTATCACACTTTGAATGACAATTGCACGGTCATGCAACACTGTACCCAAATGAATTTTTTACCATTTTTTTGACACAGATAAAGCTTTATTTTGATAGTATTTATTCACCGCTGGGATTTTTATTTTTTTTGCTATGTAAATGAAATGTCCAAAAATTTTGAAAAAAAGTTTTTTAAATAAAATTTTGCAAATAAATAATATTTCATCATAAATCTTTACCAAAATTTATTCCGTTATCTTTTTAGTAAAAAAAAAAAATCCAAATTAGTTTATAACCAAAAATTATAATTTTTAAACATTTTTTTTTACATTTTTATTTTTTTTTTATATTATTATTTTTTATTTTTATTTTATTGCAGTGCTGCACGCTTCCAGGGAGCGCGCACAAGCAGGGTGCGGGGAGACCATTTATAAACCGGCCACCCGACCCTGCACTGCCACCGTCCGGCCGTTTATATGCAACGGCCCGCTCGGGAAGTAGTTAAAGTCTAGGATACTTATAGGCAGCAAGCAAACGTGTCAGTGAAGTTGACCACTCACGTCATCACTCACTTTACTAAGAACTACAGTGGGGAACAATACAGGTGGCCAGGAGGATAGAGTGCACAGCAGCCCCTGGGATTTTCATAGAACAAAGGATGAGTGTCTGACTGGCAAGGGGACTGTGTGTGTACTGTAACACCAAGACATGATTTTGAAGGTTCGGAAACATCTATACACATACGCCATAATGTTTCTGCCTGGGGTTTATCTTTAAGGTTGGCGTCGTACAGCATATCACTAA